TATAAGGTGTTTGCTGCTTAGCACTTAAAACACAAAAAATACAGCGCTCAAAATTAATATAGAAACATGATGTTATAAATCTTATCAAACATAGTTCTTCAACAAAAGACTCTAAGTTGTATTAAAAAAAAGGACTGGTGCTGGTAAGATGGTGGCATCGTGATGATTATGAAGGTGATAAATTAAGTGATGGTGATGCATATTAGATTATGTAATGATTGCAGTTTTCGTAGACATCCTATTAATATGAAAAATATATTACCTTCATATTTTCAGCTGTTAGTGTGACAGAAAGTTCATTTCCGCTGGAAAGACCAGTAGTGTTGACGGTAAAATCTGTCTTTACTTCGTCTCCGATTCCATAATATATGGACGAGGCTTCGACGGTGGCTGAGGCATCTATATCAACAGCGGTAATACCTAACAATACAAAACCAAACATTAGGGCCTAGTTACTTTCAACTGTTAACATGAACATTTCTATTATTTTTCTGGTTGCTGTTTGCTGCTGTTAGAATTTGGGTACAGTATGTGGAGTGGCGGGTTTTAGAATGGGCACCACTAACTACAGTCTTAACAATGGTATAGACAGAAAAGTTTACTACGAAGGAATAATTTTAGACTAAGCAATGCGCATGTGCAATTACTAAGGAACGTCTCCGAAATATCTATGAAAACACAGTGAGCATGCGCTTGGAAATGCTGGACAGACAGTGAGCATGCCCACCGAGTAAGTGACGTTGTAGAGCATGTTTTTTTTTTTATTTTATTTTATTCAAATTCAGCTCAAAACATACAATGGACAATAGTAAGCAAGGTGGAAGAAATCAGGTGAAATACACCTATACTAATTCAACCACCTGAACATAATAACAAAAAAAATACAATATAATTAAATAAAGTATAAATAATACATATAAATCACAATAAAATGATTAACAAAGCAAATATAAATAAAAGGAACATAATAAATAAATAAATATATATATATATATATATATATGTATATATATATATATATATAATTGAATTAAATTAAGATATATATATTATATTGTGCAGTTACCAAAACGACGTCTCATGAAACCATTGAGCATGACCAAATACCAACGGTGTTTGGGAAAAGGGTGTGAAACAGAAATGAGAAAAATATAACTTAGACTATAGCGATCAGGATATGAAAACATAGGCCTATTATATCTTCAGGGAGAATTGTAATTAAATTATTGCAAACAACAGTTTATTTGGCTCTATCGTCATCCGTACCTATGCATTTGACAATACTTTAAAAATATAACCACAAACTGACGGCACAACCAGGACTAGGGTAGCCCCAGCTAGGGCTATAAGGCCTACTGCTAGCCTAGTATAGGGGCTAGGCTAAGCCGCATTGTGTCGGGAGGTAACGGTGCCGGTGTAGCATCAATTTTAGTTTCAGGCAAATTTTAGTATTTCGTGGTCTGGTTGATCAGAGCCTATATGGGACACAAATTTGCGACACTTCCGGAGTAAATAATTATTAAATATGTTGTTATCCCCTGGGTTGGGAAGTGACCCTCTGTAGTTAGGATATAAGTTACAGATAGTTGCCATGTTTTCTTGTTTGAGGTAAATATGTACCAAAGCGGCCAAAATTTACAGTAGATTAATAAGTATAGTTTAACAAGTATGCTTTGTAATGTCAATAGTTCAATTATATAATAAGTCCTATATTCGATTATACTAAAGAATATACAGTAGATAGGTCTAGAAATTCTATAATACATAGCCTAGGTATAGGCCTGCCTGTGTACAGACACGCTGTACGGCGAAAAGAAATCCTAGATATCCAAATTAAACTTGGCGTTGTCATAGTGTAATGGAATATGAAACTATTGTACTGTTATGATACACCATAATTTATAAAGCTTTATTTTCTTGTTATAGTTTCACGGTGGTATTGAGGTGTTAAGTTAATAAATACCGTAGGTCGTGTCACGCCCACCAACAGTCGAGACTCAGCCCTCATTTGTTTTTTTTTTTAATTGTCATGGTACCCACGGCTAAGGCAACTTGATTGTTGACGCAGCGTGCGTTACAGTGAAACTTTTACTGTGCAACGACGACGTTTAATAGTGAAAAGGTAAAAAACATGGAGAATATTTACGTGAGTAGAAAACCAATAAATTCATTGACTGCAGCCACATCAATATGATGATAGAGGGCAGCCATCAAATACCCTCATGACCCGATCTGAATCAGCAACAACTGTTAGAGCAGGATGATGTTCGATCAGAAATGAATTCTGTCAGTGGACGTATTGTTTTGTCTGCGAAAATGCTGGCTAAGCAGGAAGGGGCAGAACTTGAAGCCAGGAAAAAGCTTCGAAAAGGAAGCAGAAGATCCAATTGGCTCAATTAAAGCTTACTCAGGAGGCGGAGCAACTTGAGTTAGAGACAGAGATGGATGTTGTTTCAGTCAGAAAGCAAGTTCTGGAGGATTCCGGTACCAACTCTGAGGAGGAAGGACCACAACCCACTACAAGTGAACAGAAGACATCAATCAATGCGGTACAGCAGCTGCTGAGAGATTCACGGAAGAGGCAACAGTTGCTGGTAGGAGCTTTGCAACTACCAAAAGGTGAATTGATGACTTTTGACGGTGATCCATTAAAGTATTGGCCATTCTTTAGGTCCTTTAAAAATAATGTTGACAAAAATACTACTAATGACAGTGTTAAATTATGCAGTTTAGTGCAATTCGGTACTGGGCTAAACATGTTTTACAATTTTGCTTGTTAAAGGAGCCCTCAGAAGGATATAAATTGGCTAAAGATTTACTTTAAAAAGATTCGGAAATGACGATGTGATTGCTCAAACAATGGGTTGCAAAAATAATAAAGCGACAAAATGTGAAGGATTCTATTGAGTTACAAGCGTTTGCCTGAGTTAAAATGCTGTAAGGAAACTTTATGTTCCACAGGGTACTTGGGTGAGCTTGACAATCAAAGGGGATTGCGACAAATTGTTGATAAACTACCTTGCCACTGCAAACAAGATGGTTAAGGAAAAACCACAAAATTGAGTTTGATAAGAAACGTAGCCCTAAATTAAACGATCTTGTAAAGTTTGTTATTTCAACTGCCGATGAGGCAATGGATCCTATTTTTTGGGTCTTTGGTTAAGAAATCATACAAGGTTAAGTCAACTGATAGTTCGAGGTTATCAAATGAAGGTAGCCTTGCCTATTGTTCCAATGCGAGTTCGATCGGCAGGAGGTGATGTGTACATCAACACGTACGCCTTGCTTGATAACGGTTCTAAAAATACTTTCTGCTAACAGAAACTTTCGAAGCAAGTGAATGTCATTAGACAAGACAAACCTTGTGTTTAACCACTTTAGATAGGAGAAATAGCGCAATAAATGCCACATTGGTCAATTTGGAGGTGAGTAGCCTCGATGAGAGTCAGATATTGGAGTTGCCTATCGTTTACTCGACACCCGATCTTAGTATTAGTGACTTACGTCTTGCCAGACGACATGATATAAGTAAGTGGTCACACCTGAGGGGGATAGAAATCCCAGACATAGATGCTAAGAAGGTTGAAATCTTGATAGGACAGGATGTTCCTGATGCCTTGATGCCATCGAAAAAACGAGGTGAACCTTACGCAAAAAAAAGACAAAGGTTGGGTTGGGTTATAAATGGTAGAGAAGCAGCTTAAAAGATTCTGGATGTTAGATAACATCGAATGCATTGATGACGATAGCATGAGCACGTCCGTTAGTAATAAGACATCAGTTGCTGTTTGGAACAAAACCATCACACGTGAAGGAGGACATTACCAATTGGCTATACCCTTTAATTCTCGTCCTCCCAATTTACTAAACAACCGATCAACTGCTGAACAAAGGTTGAAGTGTCTGCGGCTAAGACTAGAACGAGATCCTTTATTTTATGAGAAGTACTGCGAATCCATGCAGGGCTTGTTGACAGAGGGTTACTCAGAAATTGTTGCACCTGAGAGAAATCCAATGGGTAATACTGTGTAGTATTTGCCGCATCATCCGGTGTTAAATCCCAAGAAGCCAAACGAGATGCGTATTGTGTTTGATTGTGCATCCAAGCACCAAGGTGTATCGCTGAATGATAAGGTTCGACAGGGCCCAGACTTGACTAACACGCTTGTTGGAGTTCTGTGGCGATTTAGGCGGCAACCAATTGCAATCATGGGAGACGTGCAGGCCATGTTTTATCAGGTCCTTCAGAAGACCGTGATTTCTTGAGATATCTGTGGTGGCCTGATGGCAACATGACACAAGAACCAAAGGTATATCGAATGTGTGTACATCTTTTCGGAGGGACATGTGCGTAAGCGTTGTGTCGAACAGCAGAAGACAATAAACAAAGCTTTCATGTTGACACTATCAAGAGCGTCCTTCGTGAATTTTATGCGGACGATTGTTTGCTT